TACCTTCTCTGCCTCTGATTCTTCATTGGTAAAGACGTAGGTACTAGCTACATTACAGGTTGATCGTAGGGCTTAACATTAAATAATATAAAGAAAAAATGAAGAATTAAAGCATTGGTAACGTACCTAAAGCTCTATACACTTAACACATAGGTTGCATGACACTTAATACATTTGTTACTGTTCCTATTCTACTCCAGTATAAGCCCTCAGATGTTTTTATAGCGTACGAAAAGATTTCTAACTGGTCTCCCTCACATAAGACTTAGTAAGATCATTCTCTCAGTTGTAGTCAGAATTATTTTTTTAAAGCTGGAGCTGATCATGTCATTTCCCTAAAAGCCTCTAATACTGCTTTTCTCTATGAGTTTGCTTTTTGTGCCATACCAAAGCATCGACTTAAAGTGGAACCAACTTGCCATCTTTCTCATTTATTTTTCTGCTCCTCTCTCAAAAGTAGCACAGCTTTCATTAACATCAAACTTATTATTTCATGGACATGCCAGTCCCTTTGATGCTTTTGGGTCTCTTTCTGTTTCCTGTGTTAGTATTTACCCTTTGTCATCTAGAAAACCCCTGCTCGTCTTCAAGACCTGGTTCCTCACTATACCTTCCCCTAAGTCAAAATCAAACACTCCTCTGTGCTATTGAGCACTTTATTCATAGTACTTATCATGCCAAGTCTGCAATTATTAAATTGCAACTACTTTCCTCAGGGAAAAGACCATTTCCAAATAAAAATCAATCGAATTTGGTGTGTGTTGCACAGTATCTGGTATACTGTAGGCAATCACTATAGGTCACTGAATGAATAAATGATACCTAAAAGATTCTTAGAGTTGACAGGTCTTTTCACATGCTTAACCTGTTGTCATCACATTAGCATAACATACAAGCTTAAGACTGTCTGGCTATAAGAGGCTCTATTATTATCAGCTGGGACTTACTAAATTTCTCCAACATTTTCCCCAATTACAGAGCTTCAAAAATACATAAAAACAACCACCAAAACTTTTGAAAAAAATAAGAGCATGTTTTAAGAACAAGGTAATTATACAGATCATGATAATTACCTGTGGTTATTGGTAAATACTTTGCAACTTGGTAATTGTACTCCACTTCAGGGTCAGATTAGAATGTTCATCTAATTGGCCATGAAGGCTGCTTTTAATTTTTTTTTAATTCAATGTAGTTACCATATATATATGCATATATATATATTATTATTATTAGTTTCAGGGGGAGAATTTAGTGATTTGTTGGGAGCTGCTATTTAAAACGTTAGGCTAAAACCTGGAATGAGAGAACTCTCTGGAATTATAGTAGCATGTCCAAGTCTTTGCAGTTTCCATCCATTTCTCTCCTGTGGCAATATAATCAATTCAGTTAAATAATTTAAAATCAGTGAGTTCTATTATTTCCCTGAATTCCTTGGAAACAGCTCAGCCAGAGTAATGAGGAAAATCATTGGTTTGCAAACTAGAGCAGTGTTTATCAAAATGTGAGTAATGACTCATTAACAGCACATGAAATCAATTTAGTGTATCACCCCCCCCCCCAGCAATTAAAAAAAAGGAATAGAAAATACTAGAATGTGCTGCATCAGGTGAGTATGTTGTCTCATAAAATCTTTGTTACAGCTGCATGTGTGTGTGTTTACTGGGTTGGGATGTAAAATGTATTTCCTACTACAGTATACAGCTCTCACTGGACTGGGAAGTTGTTTAAAAGCCACCACCCTACAGGACACAGCAATATTGTTCCAGAAGGGGGATCACATCCAAGTACCCACTTAATAAAATTGCTTTAATAACTTGATAACATTGTAATCATGCCCCTCTTGGGGCCCCAAACCCTAATTACATAATCATAATTCCAAAAGCATAATCAACACCTGATTCATTCACCAGACTTGGCTTCCAATAACATTTAATTATTTCCAAAGTCAAACCCATCTCTGAGACATGCACATTCACTCCCGCAGAAACTAGGCCAAAAAATTCGCCATAGATGCTGAAGTCAATACCAAAAAAGCAGTCTGAAAGATATTTTCAGCAAAAGCAACATCACTAAACTTAGACTCAGAGCACTGTTTTCCAGGGCTACTCCTGAAGTTTCTGTTTCCATGTTTATCACAGTTAATTATAATTATTGTATAATTTTCTCACCATGAAACTGAGTCCCTATTACACAGAAACCTTATTTTACTGCTTCTGTATTCTAGTGCCTGTTTGTGTGTGTGTGTGTGTGTGTGTGTGTGTGTGTGTATGCACATAAGAGATACTTAATAATGTTAGAAACACAGGACTCATTTGGATAAATACATGTTCTGAAACTTAATGAGTGAATCAGGGTCAGAGCACATGCTAAGGCGATTCATGCTTCCTGCCCGCTTCAAAGAATGTATTTCTCATAGTCTCTCAGCTACAAAACGGGGCTTTATTGGAATTTAAAATTCACAACTTTTTTTTCTTTTTCTTTTTTTGGACAGAGAGATAACAAGTAGGCAGAGAGGCGGGCAGAGAGAGAGGGGGAAGCAGACTCCCTGCTGAGCAGAGAGCCCGATGCAGGGCTCGATCCCAGGACCCTGAGATCATGACCTGAGCTGAAGGCAGAGGCTTAACCCACAGAGCCACTCAGGTGCCCCAAAATTCACGACTTTTTAAATCAAAGGAATAACATTGAAAACAAAATGAGATACTATTTTGATGTCAAATTATCATGGATGTAAGCAGGGAAATGAGCATTCTCAGATGATGTCTGTGATAGGGAAAAACTGAAGAAGGTAGTTTGGAAATACATACCAAAAACCTTTAATTATATTTTTTCTGTGATGTAGAAATTTTGCTTCTAGTTCTTTATCCTATGGCATATTAAGCATCTACAAATATAGATACAGGATATTAATCTCAGGGTTTTTAACAATGGAGAAATATGTCTAATACTGGGAAATTAATGACAAATTACAGTGATTGTCACAATAGAACAATATGCAACCATGAAAAATGACATTCAATTATATTGGCATAGCAGGAGGCTCAAAAAACAAGTTAACAAAGTGATAAATTGTAAAATATCATTTTAAAAATTTCCAGGTGAAATTCACGTGACATAATTAAACATTTCACAGTGAACAATTCAGTGGCTATTCAGTTCACTTTATTGACCAACCACCACCTGTTAGTTCCAAAGCATTTTCATCACCCCAAAAGGAAACTTGCACCTGTTAAGCAGTTACTTTCCAATCCCCCTTCCCCCAACCCCTGGTAATCACCAATCTGAATTGTCTCTATGGATGTACTTATTCTGGATATTCTGTATGAATGGAATCATACATATGTTACCCTTTGTTCCTTCACTTAATGTTTTGGAGGCCCATCTGCCTTGTAGCAGTACTTTATTCCTTTTTATGCCTGAATAATATTCTATTGTATGTATATACTACAACTGGTTTATCTGTTCCCAGGTAGACAGACATTTGGGCTGTTTCCACCCTTTGGCTATTGGGAATAGTTTTGCTATGAATATGTACTGCAGAATCATTTTGATTATCAAAGTATGTACTGGTAGAGAATAAATTCAGAAGTATTAGGAGTCATTATTTGGGGATTACAAAGGAATCTCTTTATATTATTAAGATCATTGGGTTTTAGAAATAAGCAGACCAGACTCCATTTCTTCATGTGTATTGTGAGGAAATAGAACCTAAAATAAAACTGGATTATTGGGGCGCCTGGGTGGCTCAGACGTTAAGCGTCTGCCTTCAGCTCAGGTCATGATCCCGGAGCCCTGCATCAGGCTCCTTGCTCAGCGGGAAGCCTGCTTCTCCCTCTTCCACTCCCCCTGCTTGTCTTCCCCCTCTCACTCTGTCAAGTAAATAAAATCTTTAAAAAAATAAAACTGGATTATTGTGAAGAGTAGATGAAATATATATAAAGCACTTAGAAATATGTAGGGGTACAGTGTAAGTACTGAATGGTAGTATTTTTTTATTGTTTTTATTTTTTGGCTACCTTAATTTGAAATATTTTCCCCTAACGGAATAATACTGGTGTTAAACAGGGTTTTTGTTTTTGCGTGTGTTTGCACGGTACACAGTTAAGATGCTTAGTCCTAATAGTCATTTGGGCTGTTGCGAAAGATTGCTGATGCTTTGATGTGATGACATCACTTTGAACACAGTTCTACAATGTAACTCTCCCTCTAGGTTTCAGTGAAAATGCTTCAAGTAGGGTATTCTTGAGTCTCGAGCCCCCCGCCGTAGCTCCTCTTCCATGTTAGTTTTTGCTTCAGCATCGCTTTCTACGTTGCACATGCAACCATCCAGGTTTTTCATATTTTAGTAAATTTACCCAGGGACGGTTGAAAAGCCCAGGGTCTCTGGTACAAAGCAAGGAAAATACTTTGCCATCAGGTTTTTCCAAATATATACAATTTCCTCCAGAATATCTTTGTATTCCCTAGAAAATCTTAAATTTTATTTTTCAATGTAAACTCAAAGTTCTTTGCCAAATATGCACATCTTGAGCACAGAAGGTTAAAGTCCGGAGCCCGCCGGGCACCTCGCCGGGTTTGGGGAGCCCGACTTGGCATCTGCAGCGCCCGAGCCGCCCCAGAGCGGGAGTTTCGAGTACAGCCTGGGGACAGCTGGTGTCACGTGGGGAGGCCTCTCGGGGACAGGAGCCTGGGGTTCGAGTCCCCCCGGGAAGCTGCCGCCAAGGGGCCGCATCCCCGGAGCCCAGGCCTGGGCGCTCGTCTAAGGCCCTGCGGGCAGGGGAGTCGGCCGCCCGCGGCCGCACAGGTGTCCGGGTGGCGGCGCCCGAGCCCCCACCCGCGGGGCGGGCGGGCGGGATGGGCGCCGCCCGTGCGCGGGGGCCGGGGCCGAGGGGGAGGTTCCCGCGAGGTGGTTCTCCGGCTCCTCCTCGGCGCTCAGGTTTCCTCTCCCGCCCGCCGGCTGCTGGCTGCGGCGCCGCCTCCCTCCCCGCCACGGCCGGGCCCACTCTGCGGCCTCTGCCCGCCTCGCCCCCGCCCGGGCCTCCTCCCGCTTTCTCTCTCCGCTTCCCCTCGAACCTCCGGAGGAGCCCGCAGCCGCGGGGCGCCCGGGAAGATGGCGGCGGCGGGAGGCGGTAGCGGCAAGGGGGGCGCGGGCCTGGGAGGCGCGCCGGGGCCAGGGTCGCGGCCGCGCGGGCCGAGCCCCTCCGCCCGCGCGAGCGAGGACGCCCGGGGCCCCGCGCCCAGCGCGCTGCACCCCGAGGAGGTCGCCGCGCGGCTGCAGCGGATGCACCGGGAGCTGAGCAACCGCAGGAAAATCCTGGTGAAAAACCTGCCCCAGGACAGCAACTGCCAGGTACGAGGTTAACGCTGGGAGGCGACCCGTCCGGGGGCATCGAGGCAGGGCTCCGGGGGAGGCTGCCCCGCGGCGTCCAGGCTGGTGCCCGGAGCCCTGGAACGCTCGAGGGGAGGAGGGGGAATCGGTGCGGAGTTAGAACCGTCTGTCGCTTTTGCAAAGCCCCCCGGTTTCTGAGCCTGCGGTCCCCAGGCGAGAGTGGCAGATTAGGAAACCGAGGCTCTGAGAGGCAAAGCGGCTGGTCCAAGGTCACGGGAATCCGGGGAGGCTGTCCTTAGCCCGCCCGGCTCTTTTCTTCCCCTGTGGCCCTTACGGCTGTGGGAGAAGAGGTCGCGGGAGTAGTGGGGGAAAGGTGGGTGAACGAGAGTGGAGGGGAGCCGTGGAGCACAGTTTTGGGGGACCAAGTTTCCGGGAGTACCTTGAGAGGGTCCCTCCGGGGTCCTCCGGACTTGGGTGTGCCATGGGGGGCGGGGTCATGGGAGAGCTGGGAGTGAGTTTTGCTACTGCAGAAGCACTTGCCCAAGTTTGTATGGAAGAACTCTGTCTCCCCAGTTTGCCAAGGCCTCGAAATGGAGAGGTTATCCCTGAGCTTTGGGGAACCTTGCGACCACCTCTGCCATGCCAAGTACTGCAGGATTTGTTACTCAGTGACTCAAAGAGGCTTAAAGACAGGCTACTTTGTGTCTTTGATCCAGATTAACTGGTAACTGTTGCTTCAAGATTAGAAACTTTGGGGTGCCTGGGTGGCTCAGTGGGTTAAGCCGCTGCCTTCGGCTCAGGTCATGATCTCAGGGTCCTGGGATCGAGTCCCGCATCGGGCTCTCTGCTCAGCAGGGAGCCTGCTTCCCTCTCTCTCTCTCTGCCTGCCTCTCTGTCTACTTGTGATCTCTCTCTGTCAAATCAATAAATAAAAAAATCTTAAAAAAAAAAAAAAAAGATTAGAAACTTTGCATGTATTTAACTTTAACACCCACACCCGCCCCCCGCCCCGCCCTTGATTGCCAAAGTCTACATGCTCATTGTAGAAAAGCAAGAAAATACAGAGAAGCACAAAGGGGAAGAGTAGAAATCACCTTTCTTTTCTCTCTTTTTACTTGTAGTTGACGCACAATGTTTGATTAGTTTCAGGTGTACTGCACAGTGGACAATTCCATACCTTAGGCTTTGCTCACAGCAATGTTACCATCTGTCCCCATATAAAGTTATTACAATGTTACTAGTTTCCCGATGGTGTACTTCTCATGCGCATTATTTATTTATTTTATAACTGGAAGTTTGTGCCTCTTAATCTCCTTCACCTGTTTCACCCATCCCTTCGCTCCCCCAATCCTTCTCCCTTCTGGCAACTACCAGTTCTCTGTGTCTGTGAGCCTGTTTGTTTGTTCTTTTGTTTTTTAGATACCACATGTACGTGAAATCATATGGTATTTGTCTTTCTCAGTCTGGCTTATTTCACTTAGCCTAATACCCCGCAGGTCCATCCATTTTGTCACCAATGGCAAGGAAATATTTCTGTATTTCTGATACTTAAAGACAGCCATTGTTGACATGAGATAGTATCCTTCTCCCTTTTCTGGTGCCCATGTATACATATGCATTTTTGTTTCACCACACACACACACACACACACACACACACAAGGAAAAGAGAGAGACCATGTCTCTGTACTTCCATGTTTCTTAATTGTCTAGATGTTTGTGTATATTTCATATACAGCTTGAAATTACATATTTTGTGTGGATGGGGGAGGGTGGTCTGTCCTGGCACTGGGAGATTTGGGCCGATTTATGTAGTTCCTCGTGTAACAGGATACAGGAAATTGCAAGTGGGCTGGCTATTGATAACTGCACAGTAGTTCTTCCATAAGACCCGTAAAATAATAAGGGCAATGCCTCATTATTATGTAATTACACCTTACAATAAATGAGAGCATATAACCTTATAATCTATATAAACGAGGGGCCATTTTGTTTCAAAAAGCAATGTATCTCATTCCTCTTTCAGCTCTATTATTGTCCACTTCCCATCAGTTAGGTAGTATTTTGTGATGCTACCTATAAGAACACCTGTAATGGACTGATTTCATAGAGGCCAATTTCCCCTACCTGTGCAAATAGAAGACAGGAAAAGGGGCTCAGGAGGAGGGATGCCTGGAAGAGGCAGGTGGTGTTAAAAGGAAAAAAAAACTGAATGGATAGCAGCTCTGTGTATAGATAATCTAGGAAAAGAGAGATGGAGAAATGTCTTATTATTTTTGTGGAGTGTCATCTATTTTTGTTGTATTTCCTTGCATTCTAAAAATGTTTAGACAACATTCTAGACAGTTGGCTCTATCCTTGTTTTGCTGTTGGTGTCTTTCTCATTTCCTTCATTAAGAGACATGAAAAAATATACCAAAGGGTCTAAAAAAGGGAACAGTTTTAATTACTTGGCATTAGTGATGGATGGAGGTTTTATGTGATTTAGACTGATTTCTATTTTTGAGATATCCTTTCTCTGTTATGAATTTATGTTTGGCCTAAATCTTAGGATTTTCTGTAAGGTAGCAAGCATAAGCTATTGAATAAAATTGGTATAAGATCTACATATCTAGATGAGTCTTCTACTGCCAAGTGAAGTATCTTAAATTTTTATGTTAAGTTAAATTCTTATGCCATGTTTTTTTTTGAGAATTGAATTTCATCTAAAAGCAAAAAAAAAAAAAAAGTTATTAGGATCTAGAGATTAGTTTCCAGACTTGTTCTAGCACTTTTTCCAATGACAATTTATATTATAAAACATTGTTTTTAATATTTCTGATGTGTAGTTTTACAATCTAAACATCAGCACACAAATAACATTTGTTTGAGTAATTTTTTTTCTGTCATCTTCTGTATTTGTATCTTTGCTAGTTTTCTGCTCACAATCGTAACTATGTGGTCCATGTTAAATAAGTAGAATAGAATAGTATACTAATTTTTAAAAGCAATTAAAAGTCTTCAGATTAATTAGACTGAGCATTGCTATTTTTGGTTGAATAAAATTAACATATACTTAATCTACTCTAAATATGTTTTGCAAGAATTTGTTATATTTTTTATTTCCCTTCACAATTCTAATTGCCTTAGTGGGTGCATTTTACTGTCAACTTAGAAATGAGGGTTTAACTTGAGTTTTTTGTTGTGCCTTTTAGCATTTATTGCTTGGCTAAACTACCTATTTATTCCTTGTGAAATAACTAACATGGTTTAAGAAAAAGTTATTACTTTTTGTCCAGTTGTTAAGTAATCAGATAATTTAAATATTAAATTCCTGTTCTTTTCTAGAAGACTCTATAGGTTCATTCATTCATTTATTCTGGAATATTAATTACATTAAGGACCGAGGCCATTACTAACTTCAGTTCTCAAGCTGTATAGCGATGTCTCTAGAAAAATTCCATTGGTAATTGATTAGTTAGGAACCCGATAATATCCTTTAACATTTTTAAAACATGAGTTTTTCCTTTATTAAGCAGGATTTTTATAAATCTTACTCAAATTGTAATTTTGGGTAAAAGCAGTTCTTAAAAGCTGCCTTATACAATAGTTACTGTGTGGTCAGGTGCTGTCTGGTTGGCCTCCTACGCTTTCTCGAATCCTCCTAGCCCTCTGTGTCTTCAGGTCTTCTCTCTGGTTCATGTCCGTTTTCATCTCTTGCCCAGACTATTACAACTTTTCTTCTGTTTGTCATCTACCCTCATTATTGTCCTGTGTCTTGTGTTTTAGCCCATCCTGCTTACTGCTTCCCCTGAGAGAACTCCCCCAAGGCACAAATCCAATCATGTCACTCTTCTGCAAAAAAAAAAAAAAAAAAGAAAGAAAGAAAGAAAGGAAGGAAGGAAGGTAGGTAGGTAGGTTTGGCTCCACATTCCCAGCACTGCTTCTCAAACTCTTGCTCAAATGTTCCTCAACATATCTCTTTTCCTCAGCTTGTAAGGAATAGTGGAGCACCACTAGCCTACCCCAAGAATGAAATTGCTTTGAAGCTTCATGTTCTGACTGAAAAATTCTTATTAATTTTATGTCCTACTAAGAAATTTGGATTTAATGTGAAAAACAGTGACTTAAACCTATTTCACTGTCCACCAAATGTTTTTCATAAACTTAACACTTATGGAAGACTCACTGTGAATTTCTGTCCTCCTTTATTACCGCAGAATACTTCCACCTTAGCTTGAAAAGTGTGACCTAACAGGATAGAAATCTAAGACTCTAGGCTTTTTGTGACTTGGCCCCGCCTACATTTGCAGTCTCATTTCTTCTTAGTCCTACAATGGATTCTACTGTAGTTTTCTCAAGCTACTTAGAGCCCCAGGTACTCTGGGCCACTGTGATTTGGATATTTATAGTAATGTCTTTGATTGTTTATGTTTTTGGAATGTAATTGTAGTAATGTATCATGAATAACATTTGTAATAATTATAATTACATGAATAATTAAACAAACAATGTTGAGAACACTGCTTCTTAATCAGAATAGCCATTGTGAATGTGTGTGTGTGTGTGTGTGTGTGTGTGTGTGTGAATAGTTTTTTACAGCTCTGAACTTAGAATTTTGATTTAAGGTAATGTCCTAATATGTGTTTTTAATTGCCTTCCTACACATTGTTTATATTTGTTGGTTAACCTGGTCCTGTTTCAATAGAATTATTAATTCTGGGGTTTCAAAACAGAGAAGACAGTGGCATCAACTCCCTGTGTTGTTTGAATTCCGTTTTTTTCTAACATGTTAGGTATGTGTAAATGTGTTATGTTCTTGTGTTTATTTTAGAATCTGAAAAAGATTTTCTTGTGTAATTAAGAGAAAATGTGAAGTGCTTAGGGCTAACAGCCAGGATCCGTAATAGAAGAAACATTCTATTGTCTCACTCTGGGCATTATTAGCTTTCATTTCAAAGTACTCTATTATAATAGTTAATTGAAAGCTTGATGGTTAATTCACAGAGGTCCATTTGAAAGCATGGTATTATTAACTAAGTA